AAAAAAAAAACTTCTTCTCTATTTCAGAAAAAATTTTAATTCATACAAACCATGCCACATTATTGGATTAAATTCATATAAACTTGGTGGATCATATTTTGAATCTGAATTTTTAGCAAGAAATACTTTCACAACCGTTAAATTACAATCTTTATCTTTTTCATAACACGGAATTTTACATGAACCATCATTCATCATTCGACAAACTAAAATTCAATGTGCGTGTTTTGTTTTGTTTTTCAATTATTCATTCTTACCAACATATTGTTCAACAAGTATTTCACCAACTCGTCGACCATTCAAATACCTGACTCTTCCCTAAAATATTCAATTGAAAGAAGAAAAAAAAATTCCTTTTTTTTTAAAGTAAATCAAAAGTTATTATTTACTGTAGCACCATTAAAATCAATATTATCTACAATAGTTTTAATATTTGTTTGATTAGATAAAATGTTCGATTGATAAAGATATGCTAAACTCCATATTGTATCATATGCATAAGCATCAAAATAATTTCTTTCTAAATTAGAAAATTGTTCTAAATAATCCAATACATAACTTGGTTGTTCCTATAAAGAAAAAAAAAAACAAAAAGGAAAATAATTTTACAATGCTTTTTTTTTATCATTTTCCTTACATTTATATCATAAATAGATAAATGTGGTATGCGTGTTTGTAAAGTTCCATTAATTGCTCGAATTAATTCTTGTATTGAACAATCAGTTTGTTCATTCCACCATGATAAAAATGATGGATAACCAAGTATAATCCATTGATAGCGTGATCCATAAATATGTTCTTTTGCAGCCTAATTATAAAAATTAATTAAATTTCAAAATAAAAAATAAAACAAACTTACATGACAAAACATATGAGTTGCAATTGTTTGATTAAAATTTGCAATAATAATTCGAACATCTCTCGCCTATAAACAATTATTAAAAATGAAAATTTTATTCAAAAAAAAAAAGTTGTTATCTTTTGTTACTTTAAAATCATTGAGTAATCCTTTTATATTTTTGACATTATCATCATGCCATTCTAATCCATGACGATAAGCTATACCACGTGTTAAATTAACTTCCCATTGTTTTTTATCAGTAGCAGTTAGATTGGATAAATCATTAGCTACCTTAAAAAAAGAAAAAAAGAACAACATAAATAATCTATCTTTTGTAATAGAAAATTACAATGATGGGAAAAGTAGGAATAAATTTTTTGAATTTTTATTGAAAATTTTTCGTTTATAATTATCAAGATCAATTTAAGTTACTTAGTTCGAAATAAACTTATAGAAACTATAACTTTGTTAATTCAAACAACATACAAGTACTCGAGAGATTTACAACATATCAATCATTGAGTAATTCGATTTAAGTATTTGACGTTTTTTTGTTATCATTAATTTGTAAGACAACTAATGTATTTTTTTCCTTTAGGATACTAACAAAAGTGCTTCAAAAAAAAGTTTGTTCTATATAAATATAATATAACAAAAAACATTCTATTAATTGATATTCTCTAGAGATCAAAGTGAAAAGAATAAAGTCAAAATTCATTCAAATGAAACATATTTATTCCCCTATAGATTTCATTATCAATCGAATTTTAAACATCAACAAGTTTGGTTAAACAAATGAGAACAAAATTCATCAATGATGTTAATAAAATTTTCTTATTAATAGAATATTCAAGTGAAACAAACAACAAAAAAAAAAATGTTTTTCTCATTTGATTTTTCTGCACTATTGACTTATAATTATCTTTTTCCTTTTGATAGTTATATATTATTAGAAATCTTCTATCTACTACGGAATACGATTCTTCTTTTTTTTGTTTATTAAATATTATATCGATTAATATTCTATTCTTGATAATATAAAAATAATATTAACTACTAACCAATGTATATTTTGATCCATGTTGATAAATTAATCCAAATCGTGTCCAATTAAAATATTGTAAAAGTTGTTTACGTACTAAATTATGATCACGATCTGATGGTATAATATGATTAAAAAATGGATAACGATCAATAGATGATAAAGATAAATCACTTTCAGTAAATGAAAACTAAAATAATCAATTTTTATCAAAGAAGAAAAGTATTCTTTTTTTTTTTTTAAATAAAGAAAATACATACAACTGGTATATGAAAATAAGTTGCTGCTTCAGCTATATAACTAAGTACATTTTGACAAGCATCACTTAGTAAAACATTTAATAAATTTGTTTTATTAATTATGTTAAAAAGTATTTTTACAGTTGTACCAACATCACACTAGAATCAAGAAAATAAAATAATAAAAATATTTTTGTTATTTGAAAATAACTTACAGGAATAATAACATTTTCTGTTGTATTAAGTTCAAATGTAATATCGATTTGTAATGATGTAATTTGTTTAAGTGCAAAATTAATTGATGGATAAGATGATTGTGTAAATAAACTATTAAGAATAATTTTATGTTGATCAGCATTTATATAATTATTAAAAATAATTAAATAAAATAAGAAAATAAAATATGAACGAAATGATTTGGTGCCCATTCATTTCAATTCAACTCATTGATCTAAACATCTGAAAGAGAGAGAGAAAATGTTAATGATAATAAATATAGACTATGTTTTCTTTTTTGCGTATTTATGTTTTATTCGTTTTCTTTTTTTTTTT